TGTTTGCCATCTGAGTGCCGTAAATGATATCCGCCGCCCACTGCATCTTTTTCAAGAAGAAAATTTTCAAGTTCGATACAAGAATCGCTCGTCATGTCCTCTGAGATCACAACCCACCAGGTTTCTCTGATGTTAGACGAGCTAGGGATCAACGAAGACGAAGGCGAAACATCACAGAGCTTCTGCGAAATATGCGTGGAGAGAAAGGAAAATGATGAGATGTTCACCGGCGAAAGCTGCGGCCATTCTTTCTGTCGCGAATGCATAAGCAGACACGTGGCGGCGAAGTTGGAGCAGCGAATAACGACGATCACATGTCCGGCGGTGAACTGCAAGTCAGTGCTGGAGCTGGAGAGGTGCAGGGCTCTGATTCCGAAAGTTGTGAGTGATCTGTGGGGAGATATTCTGTGCGAGGAGCTGATAAATGTGTCTGAAAGATTTTATTGCCCGTACAAGAACTGCTCAGCACTGTTGGTGAAGGACGTGGTTGGTGAGAATCCAGAGGTTATCAGAGAATCGGAGTGTCCTTTCTGCAACAGATTATTTTGCGCGCAGTGTTATGTTCCATGGCATTCGGGGATTGAGTGCGAAGAGTTTCAGAAACTGAATGTTGATGAAAGAGGAAGTGAAGATCTTATGCTGAGAGAGATTGCCACGAAGAGTAGATGGAGAAGGTGTACGAAATGTAGTTTCTACGTAGAAAGAATTGAGGGCTGCCAGCGTATGACATGCAGGTAAATTGATTTCTTCACTTTATATATATATATATATATATATATATATATATTTATTATATCCATAACAATTCTAATATATTTTTTAATAAATGTATACATTAATGACATAATACATGTATACCAATTATAATCTAAAAAAATCTTCAAAAAGAGACGCACAAAAACAGAATGCAACTCAAATATACGACTTCTTGTAAAAATATATATATAAACTATTCAATAATTAATAACAAAATATTTAATCAAACTCATAAAAGGCTAAAATCTTTAATTTTAAATTTACGTACAACCAATGCTATTTTTCACTAAACCCTTACCGAAATAAACAATTCAATGCCTTTGGACTTCTGACCCAACTTTTGGATTAGTAACACTTGCCCTCCAACTAGGTTTTTTGTAGTTCTTGTATTTTTTTAAAAAGATATTGTGTGTCTAATAATATTATGCTTTATGTATATTTTCTTAGAATAATGTGTTATTTATATAAAGAGGATGTATTATTATTAGTATGTAGGTGTTATTTAATTAAAAAATATTTAAATTTTTATTAAAAATTAAGACTAAATTGTAACCTCCTAAAAGTTATGTTAGTTATATCTATTTTTACCTTTTAAAATAAACATAATTGTAAAAGACATTAAATCTACATTAGAAATTATATTTATTCCATGTATTATTAATATCATTATAAATAATTCTTGATTTTTTTAAAATTTTTGAGAAAATTGATATATTCATTAATTAGATGATACATGTTCTTATCTACAACGCACTAGAACACCCTTGTTGACGATCCTTTACTCCGACATCATTTAAAGTTTCTCGAACAATGTGATATCTCACACCGGATAAATCCTTAACCATTCCCCTTCTTACTAAGACTACAGAATGCTCTTGTGAATTATGGCCAATACCAGGCATATAAGCAGTAATTTCAAATCCAAAAGTTAATCGTACTCTGGCAACTTTACATAAGTCAGAGTTCGATTTTTTAGAGGTGATATTGAAAAAGTTGACAGATAAGTCACCCTTATTGCCATTTTACAGAACCGTACATGAGATTTTTACCTCATACGGCTCATTGTTTAATTCTTTCGAAGTCATTAGGTCTTTTTCCTCGTTCGAGAATCTCCTCCCTTCTTCCACTCCGTCTCGAAAAGTAACTAGGACAAACTCAGTTATGTTTTCATATTCCAATTGAACACTTTCTATTTTTGATTATTCTCAAAGTAGAAGATTATTCTTTTTACTAAACATTTGCTGATCCAATCACACGATCTTATAATAAGAATAAAATATCTTTCTCGATCAATCTCTTTGCCCCTCATTCTTCAAGAATCAGAAAGATACTTTTTTAAGTTTGAATTTGTTTATTTGGAATCTGGGTTCTTCTACTTCATTTTTATTCACTTATTCCCATCATTATATAATATAAATAACTTTTAAACGAAAAACATATAAGAGTACAATCAAGCTTCAACCTACATCATATTAAAATAAAATGATAATGACTATTTTTTTATGAATTTTTATTAGATTATGGTGTGAAAAGAAAATTGACATAAATGATATGTCAGACTTTATAATATCTATTTACGAAGTAATATAATAAGTTAGCTTTAAACTCATTAAATTAGAAACTAGTTTATAGCTAATCACACTTTTAATAAGAAGTAATTACCAAATTAAGTGCCCCACAGTTATAAAAGACATTTTCTTTACTTAAAAGCGATGGATCCTCTTTTGGTACTCATATTTGTGAACTTTATACCATACCCATTAACTACGTTAATATGGTGTATAAATGTCCATATGTTAGTACTATTCTTAGTCATGGTGGAAGACTTACAAGATAACAATGGACATCTCAAATTTAAGGAGTAGTATGCATAATTTCCAAGATGAATATTTGATTCTTGATATGAAAGAAATCTTTTATGTTAGGAGTATATATAGGTCAGTTTCATGAATTTATTCTCTAATCAGCACATAGATACATACTCTTGTGTGAAAACACAAGTAAGTAATATTTCTTCGAATGAACATACTATATACCAATATAAACTAGATTAAGAAATGCTTTATATTCGTTAAGGATCTCAAATGGTGTTTAGATAATTCAGAGACCAAGATTTAGACAATGAAAAACAAAAAAACGCACCCAGAAAAGTTTGAATTTTAATGCACCTAACCCCATGCATGCTATACCTAAAAATAATTCTCAATTTGCTTAATTTGCATTGAGTTAAACAACTAGAGTTTTTTAATCTCCTTTTATTATTGTCCATTTTAAAAAAGTCTCTTATTATTAACAAAATAAGCTAAAAATAATTGTTGGTTTTGGAAAAAAAGACAATTAAATCCAGTAATAAGTTAAAAATATAATTTTCAAAATATTTTTTCTAAGGTAGGTGAAAAGTCCCATGTCTTACTGTATCTAGAGCTTCATGGATGGGCATTGAAGACTTAAATTCCAATGTGTTTAATAATTGGCATTCAAAATTCCAATGTGAGGTGTTGAGCTAATATTTTTAGCAAGAGGGTAGATATAATATAGTGTTATACCAAGCTCCACGTAACGCATATGCTGATCATTGATGAACTAAATGTTGAATATGTTTTCCCCAAGCTTTGGTGGCAAGGAATTGTATAGGTGCTCATCTTATAGTGTTCATGGACTACATTATTGAGTTTTTGGATTTATTTATTTATTTTTGTTTGTAGGCTACTCAAACTATAATGGTGGGTGACTATTCATTTTATTAGCATAATCATGATGTAGAACTACTGGCATCAATTAGATACAAATTAAAGGAATACTAGATTTTATCTTGGTGAGCCATCTATGATGTTTGCGTTAGTTAATATGACTGCTCTAGAAAAAAACTTAATTTAAATGGTAAATAGATTCTTTTAGCTTCATCTTCTTTTAATTTGGCTTTCATGTAAGGAGGCAGATGTGCATTGTTCTCATTGTTCTAGCCACTTCGAAATTTTAAATAATTAATAATTATGTAGACTAGAAAGAATGTGTACTAGTTAGAGTCACACACAATCTTTATTTGGTGGGACATTTATGCCATTTGAATTTTTTGGTTGTGTATGTATGTGCATATGCGTTTATAATATTATATGTAATAGTTTTATGTTATACTTAAATCACCTAGTTATATAAATATTGTCGTAATTTTAGTGTACAAGTTCTATTCAGTTGTTATTTGTTTTACATATTTTACACATTTGCAATTTAAAGCCTGTTTTAACATTTTAGGAGAATTCTGAACAATTTATCTAGTTTGCATATAAACTCACTATTTATTTATATTGTATATGTTAATGTAGTGAGCATGAAAGTTGCAAAGATTAAAAGGTTTGGATTTGTATAGTTATTCACTTAGATAAATCGATTAATTTATTATCTTACAGGTGTAATGCTCAATTCTGTTATGTATGTGGAGCTGAATGGACTAATGATAGTCATTACAAGTGTGCATAGGCCGACAAAAAAAACTTGCTTTCATGGTTATTTAAATATCTATTAGTAGATACTGGAAATTTATTTAAGTAACCGTATTGTATTATCTTTGTCAAGTTTTCTTTTGTGTTTAAAATTATTTCTATCAGAAAAAATGAAAAAAAATATAGTAAATTTTTACTTTGTTCTTGTTATGGATGTATTTAATTATGATTTAACATCTTATACTTGGTCTATTAAGCTGCCTCTCATGTGTGAAACTCATTATGTTACCAAGAGATAGATGAAAATATATTTTTAAAAATATTTAATTTGCTTACCTTGTGTTTATACTTAGCAATGATTTAAGTTCATATAATCATATATTTGATGCTACTAATGGACAGTAATATGAACTATTATCATTTTGACTCGCAATAAGAAACATAACCCAGAATAATATTTAATACTACAATTTTACTTACAACAAAAAAATAACCTATAATAAAGGCCAGAAACCATTACTGTATGTTATATTTCTATTTTATAATTCTCTGTGAGCTATATTAACAAAGGTTTCCTTCTTTTCCTTTGTAACGGTTATGTAAATCATTGGTGTTTATAAAAAAATATATTTTTCTTTAGCTATCGTATTCATAAAATATTATATTTTTCTTTCCTTTAAATAAAATACTCATGTATAGGAGAACTATGGTCGATTCATGAGCGTTGCATATTTGTGAGATTTTCTTATGAATATGTGGAATTCTAACGTACCCAAATTTCAAGTTTGAGACATTATATTACATCTCCATGTCCACTTGGAATTCTCTTTTGTACTCTATAGGCCCAAAGCCTAGCATTATTGTGGTTGTCTAATGCTTGGGTGAGTGGTAAACCTCATCACTCCCAACAACTTAGGCTACTATCTTGGAAGTTAGCAAAAATACTACAAAATGTCAATTTTACTATATAAGTGCCTCTAAGATATGAAGTACCATAAAATTATTGTAGAATTTGTTAACTGATTATCTATAAAATTACTATAAAAATTATTAATTAATTATGACGAGCTTTTCTAAACTATAAAAAAATCTGATTTACCAAAAGGAAATAATTATATAAAGGTAAAATTTTCCAATCAAGCTCTCAACAATAACATCAATATGTGACTCTTTTATTTTCTCTATTTTTAAAATTAATCTTTTTGTAAAAATAAAAAATGACTTAAATGATCATATATAGTAAAATGTTCACTTCTTTTACAAAATTTTAAAAGAATAAAGATAATAGTGATTTGTAGTATGACTCATAAGTAACATTTAAAGGATGATACTATAAACTTGAATCACTACTAAGTATAAGTACATCATGAACAAAATGAATATTTTGAAACATCTTTTAATGATACAGACCCATTTCACACATGAGAGACAACTTAGTAGACGAACACATGATTTTAAATCATAATTAAATATATTCATAACATGTATGAAAATTTTAAGATATTTGTTTCATTAATTGCCAGACAAAAACAATTATAAACACTAGAAACAAATTTAAAAAGTAATGCAGCATAATTACTTTGATGCATTTCTAGCGCTAGGTGATAGGCATGTTAATAATTGCAAGAGTAAGTTGTTTTTTTTCATCAGTCTGCTGCACAACCACCGTGTTCTTCTGTCCACTCTACTCCACATCCATAACAAAATTGGGCATTACACCTGTAATAAATCAACTTTGTAAGTTCAAATCTTGTTAATCTATGTAAATTTTCATGTTCGTCTTACAAATATTGAGTTTTGTTAAACTAGATAGATTGTTCAAAGTTTCCTAACATGAGAAGATTGAGTTAAAGTTGATATTATGCTTTCAAATGTCAAATATATGCAACCCAACAAACAACAATGAGAGAAAAAAAGAAAGGAACTACTCCTAATGTTCATTTAATTAGGTGATTTAAGGATCAAAACATAAAATACAATATGATATAAATCCCCCACCAAAGAAGCATTAACAATGTGGCCTTCAGAAGTAATATTCTTTAGAATAAATTACTAATTTAATCCCTGATGTTTAGTATTTATCCTAATTTACTTTTTAATACTTCTTTTTTTTTAAAAAAAAAACTGTAATTTGGTCATTGACATTTTCTTTTTATTTCTTTCTATTTTCTAACTTACAAAACTAAAATAGTTAAAAAACAGCTAAAAATAATTAGTTTAACTAATTAATTAATAGATCAACACATTAATAATAATATTAGACACATCTTTTATTGTCCTATTTTAATTAAAAAAAAATTAAAAAGTTACTGTAAATATATATATAATAATAATAACTGTTTATTTAAAATTTTAGTCCATTACAAACTCTGAAATTATACACTATAAATTCTTAATTATCTTTTTGTTTCATATAATTTATTTATTATACAGAACGAATTTTCAGTAGAAAAGATATGATTGTTACTTCACATTTTTATATGAAATCCTTTTATTCTTATAAAATTTTTGTTTAGATAGTACTTATATTATTTTTTATATAACTATAATTTTTTTTTTCTAAAATTATATTCTACAAGTATTAAATTCCTAAATCTAATTCAACATAAAATTTAGTTTAGAACTTTAAGTTGTAAATAGTAAAAGCGTAAGGGAGTGAGAAACAGACCTGCATGTGATATGTGGGCAGCCGTCAGTTCTTTCTACATAGAAATTGCAGTTAGGACACCTTCTCCATTTATTCTCTTCGGCAAGCTTTCTCAGCAGAAGATCTTCATTTTCCCTTTCATCATCATTCAGCCTTTGAAACTCCTCGCACTCAATTCCCGAATGCCATGGAACCTTACACGCAGCACAAAATAGTCTGTGGCAGAACGGACACTCCGATTCTCTGATAGTCTCTCCACTCTCCTCCACCACCTCCTTCATCACCAACAAGGCTGAGCAGTCCTTAAACGGGCAATAAAATCTTTCGGCCACTTTAATCACCTGCTCGCACAGAAGATCTTCCCACAGATCAATCACCGATTTTGGGATCAGAGCCCTACACGTGTTCGGCTCCAGCACTGACTTGCAGTCCACCGCCGGGCACGTTATCGTCGGTATCCGCTGCTCCACCTTTGCCGTCACGTGTCTGCTTATGCATTCGCGGCAAAAGGAATGGCCGCAGCTCTCTCCGGTGAACATCTCACCTCTTTCCTTTCTCTCCAAGCATATTCTGCAGAAACTATGTGATGTTTCACCTTCGTCTTCTTTTAACATCCCTTCAACTCCTCTGCTTGTTTCTCGTCTCGAGCTCTGAAAGGTTTCTTCTATAGAAAATGAATTACGAATATAATAAATGCACCGCAGTTAAAACGATGTCGGTTTAGGGAAAAGATGCACGATATTTTCAAACGGTGTCGTTTACGAGACTTAGCTGAGAAGATGTGCAGAGGACGCAGGTGAAGCTTCCTGGGGAGGTTAATTAACGCTTTTGCTTGACTTGACTCAGCTCTTCTCTTTTTGATAATTCATTTTTTGGGTTGCTTCTTCTTGACATGTTAATGTATTTAATTATTAAATTTTCTTTAATAATTAATTATAACTCAGGTTTTTCATTTAAAAATACATTGCATTATATTAAATTTGTCTATATGAATATTTTTTTACTTTGAAATTTATTGTTAAAAAATGAAAAGAAAAAGTAATCTTGTAAAATGTAATTACATATATATATATTCAATCCTATATAAAACTTAATTATTTATGAATATATCTGTTAAAATAACCTTTAATAACAAAAGAAACAAAAAAAAACACATAAACATATTTAGTAGAATAAAAATATACTTAACCTCTATTTAATACTTCTACTGTAATTATGGGTATTTATTATAAGAAAACCAAACTGGACAGAATGGATACATATATTAAGTATGAATGTATATTAGATACATACGTAAGTATTTATATTATGTTAAATTTATTAAGTTTTCAGAATAGAAATATTAAAAAGATAATTTCAGATAGATTATTATTTTAATGAATTATCTAAAAGATATAAAGTAGTTTCTCAAACAAGTTAAGGAAACTTAGATAACTTTTCTAGATACAATTACTCATGATAAATTAGGGAAGGTGGTGGAAAAAAGAACAACAATTCCAATAATCAATGTACAACTCATAATATTAGGTGGAAACTTACATGGAGAGAAATTATGACGCATGCTTTGGAACAAATATTTAAACAACTAATTATAAAAGTAGCATATTTTAATTTGCTAAGATTGATCCAAGATTATATTCTTGTGTCGGGTTAATATAGATCAAGCAATTTTTTCAGATGATAAAAATATGAAATTTTAACCGGTTATACAATTCACGTGGAATTTCAGAACAAGATTTAGAAAAAATTCAAAATTTTGCCTCAAAAACTAAAATTGGACGTACTAAACTCATTTTGAGAAAAGTAGCTTCTTAATCTTAATATTATAACTCCTTAAATTTATGAAAATTTTCACGAGATATAAAAACACAAAACCTATAAAAATCATATGTAAATGCTTGAAGAAATAAATATAATGATATTCAAGATTTTAAATTAAGGTGGGAATTAATTAGTGCAGGATGATAAATGGAAAGCTTTCAAATTAACTTGCTTTCCAATGTGTCATGTGATGAATAAGTGCTATGATATTAAATCTAAGATTGAGTAAAACTAACTATCATTCACCGCTTATAAATTAAATGCAATGAGAAAATCCGAGAGAGAAAGGAAGAGAAATTACAAACTCTTTTTTTTTTATAAAAATCTACGTTTTTTCTTCAAGTCAATCGCTTGAATATTTTCACTATTCTCTGAAATTTTTATATAATATTTTGTGCCAAGCTTCACCACTTACACCAGCTTATTTTATTTGATGTGAAGCTCTACCAATTATTTGTGTTTTCTTTAAACAGAACTAACAATTGCTTGTTCGGTACTTGGCTTTTCTCAAACATAATCATTAAATACGAATTCTTTTTTTTTTTTTACAATTTTCAAGAGCATAAAAAAATATATTTCACTTTTCTTCTAATAAGGAAGAGATATAAAGCTCAAAAATTTCTAGTACAAGATTTAGCTCAAGAGAAGAATTGATTTTTCAAGAGTTTAACTCCCAAATCCCTTAAAAAGGCAATTATTTACATTCACCTTCAATACCTAGAAATGTAAGGTGATATTTTGTTCAGCATTTGCCTTTGACATCTAAAAAAGTAAAGTGTTATCCATCATACATATGTTTTCAATTCTTAAAAAGGAAAAACATTCATCTTACATCCAGCTTAAATTATTAAAAGAAAATGTGGACATTTTATTCTACAGATGCTTCCAATTGCTATAAAAAAAAGACATTCATCTAGTATTTACCTTCAATATTAAAAAAGATTAAGCATCATTCATTCATATCTGCCTTCAATTTTAAAAATTAGAGAAAATCATCTTGTATTCATGTTCAATGCCTAGAAAAATAGGGTGATAGTTTCATCATACATCCACTTTGAATGCATAAGAAACAATATGATATTCATTATGCATTTGCCTTTAGCATCTAAGAAGATAAGGTGTCATTCATTTTGTGGATTTGTTTTCAATTCTTTAAAAGAAAATGCATAAACTTGGATTCACATTCACTACTTAAAAAACTATGTAGCAGTTTATTGTGCATTCATCGTGAATACCTAAAAAGTAATGTAATATTATGTCTTGTATTTACTTCCAATCCTTAAAAGAGTAAGAATTCATTTTATTTCATGCATTTGCCTCAATTCTTGAAAAAGAAATATATCAATTCTACTTTCGTCTACAATGTCTAAAAAAGTAAAGCGAGAATTCATCATGCATTCGCCTTCAATATTTAAAAATATAAGGCGATATTTCATTCTGCATATGCCTTCAAATCCTAAAAAGAAAGATATTCACTTTATATATATATAGTGTTTTGTTAAAAAAAAAAAAAACCAAAAGACAAAAAAGAAAAATAGATGTAAAAAACTAAATGATAATGAAAATTCATGACAAGGAATATTTTGCTATGTATAGGCAAAATTAGATGATTCTAGTTTTTATTTGGCCTTTTTACAAAAATTCAAGTGAAGAAAGTATGATTTATATGATAGGTCCCAGTCATAACTTCACACTCAAGTAAGATTTTTTTACTTTATGTAAGAAAAGACTAGAGAATGTTTTTGAATTTTTTGAATGGTTTATTGATGAATGTTGAGGTCTTTAAATAGGCATGAGTACAACTGATTGAATAATTTTAGATAAGAACAGAAGATACAAGTGAATTAAATGGAAAAACAAATACTGGTGCTGAAATTCTAGAGTGGATAACAGCTCATTCGTGATTTTTGGGTAGATTTCTTTCTCTGTTTGTTGTAGCTTGTGAGGAGCAGCTAGATTGATCAGTTATCCAAGTATTTCGAATTTTGTTTGACCTTCCTCTGTAATATTCGAATCTTATCATTATACCCTCATTTTGTCTATATTTAATTAAAATAAAAAAAAAATAAGAACAAAAATGTCCTAAATTTTTCATATGATTTTTTTGTTAATTTTGCTATATTTATTCCATATTCATAAAGAAACAACAAAAGTACAAAAATGAAATAGAAAAAAGAAGAAAATAGAGGGCGGGAAAGAAAAGAAGACAAATTTAGGGAGGAAATGAAAAATAAGAGAAAAAGAAAGACAATGGGCATAAATGAAGAAAGAGAAAAATGTGAATGAAAAGATTAAAAAGACATGGGCCATAAATATTAAATAACTTCTATTTAGACCAGGCCCAAAAAAAACCCAATACATTTTTCATTCTTTTTCTTTTCTTTTTTTCCCACTCAAGACTGTTCCCTAAAGGAGCTTAGTCTGGTCTTACCAAACTTTTTTCTTTTTTCTCCCTCCACCAAGCTCGTCTTGAGGTTCTTTAACTTCCTCCCCAAGATGGCGCATTGTGGGGAAGACGTTAAACTCATATTCCCCTTCCTCAGGTGTCGACTATAAACAAGAAAAGAGGGGCTAGGATTTTGTTTTGCATGAGAAAGAAGAGATGATGGCAGCATGGGACAGGCTAATTGAAGATGATTGGCTGGAGGTAGGGTGCTGTAAAGAAGAGGTAGTAAGGTAAGGATCGGAAGAGGTAGATGATGACAACATGGAATTCATTTACAACTTGACGTGAATCGCTCGGCTAAAAGCCGGTCAGCGGGATCAAAGCAGTATGATTAGTGAATCTCCAGAAAATCCAGGTGCTATACTGAATTTGTTCTGAATTTTCTTTTTCTATCTGCTTGATAATTGAGATTCGATATGGAACCCTAACATTGCGGATGAGGAAGAATAAAATGTTCGTTCCTCGCGATCCAAGTCGAAGTTCGAAGAGAATTATGGCAACCGCTTTAATTTTCTCACGTGATTTCAAGTCACGTTGTGGGTTGATAATACGAATCTAATTTTCTGGAGGAATTAGACAGAACATGGTTGGGATTTATTCTGACGATGGAAGTCGAAGGCACCTACCATCGTGGATGCTGGGTGTTTCTTCTAAGGATGAAGCAAAGAATCAATGTGAGAGAAGTGAAAATATCGAAGAAGTAGTGAAACCAAATGCTCAGCGGAAAGATAAGAAATCTCTAGTTTTTTAAAGCGTGAATCTAAGGAAAAAGAAAACGAAATCAACTAAAACCAAAGGATGGTGCTTCAGATGGCGGTATCAATGTTTGTGCAAGTGGTAATGAATGGAGAATTCCATCTCCTCTTTATGATGCTCAGGATCTGACTGTGGAAGATCTTCTCGCCATTGCTGAAGAGGTAGAATTTCCCTCCTCGAAACAAAACTTTGTTTGCCCAATCCGTTTATACATCTATCCCTTTGCTGTGATGAGGAAATATACATACGTTCTAAATTTATATACGTTTATTGGTGAGATTATGTAGAAGTTGCATATTGGATTTTTTTTTTGTGTGTAAAAAATGCTATTATAGAATTTTGTAGTTCTATTTTCATTTCCTCTCTCACTAAGTTATATGTTTCTGTAAATGATTGTTGTACATTTAGAGAAGGTTTTCATTCTACCAGAGGGACCCTGAGTGTTCAATCTTGTAATCTAAATCAATAATTACATACTCTTGCATCATATTTCTCAGGTTCTTTTACTTATTTGCAGTATGTTAGAGGTGATAACAATATGGGAACGCATAAATTATTAAGCAAAGAATCCGAATTGGTCAGGGAATCTACGGCCCCAGGAAATCAATTGGGAGATT